GAGACCGTCAAGGAGACTGCCACCAAGACCACCGACAGCGTTTTCTCCATGTTCGGCGGAGGTCCCAAGAAGGAGAAGGTCGAGGCTGAGGATGACAAGGACGAGCCTTCTGGCTCTTCCAAGGCCCAGAAGGCTGAGGAGGAGGTGAGTCAATACAAAAGTTTTTTTTGGTGGTTTTGGGAAGAATCACTCGTTGGCTGGGCTTGCGGGTTATTGTTCAGGCATACCCCGCTTTCGCCCCTCCATGGCGGAGAGCTTCTGTGTCCAAATCTTTGTTTTGTCTCTTCTGATTTCTATCGCGCGGGGAACCAGTTTGACTCGATCGTGAGATAAAGCCTTTGACTAACTAGTCGCTTGCCTCAACAGGACGAAGCCCCCGAGTCCCCCGATGTCCACTTCGAGCCTGTCATCCGCCTGACGGAGAAGGTCGAGACCAAGACCAACGAGGAGCTGGAGGAGCAGACTTTCAAGATGCGTGCTAAGCTGTTCCGCTTCGACCGTGAGAGCAAGGAGTGGAAGGAGCGTGGCACTGGTGACGTGAGACTGCTCAAGCACAAGGAGAACCAGAAGACCCGCCTTGTGATGCGCCGCGACAAGACCCTCAAGGTCTGCGCTAACCACTACAGTGAGTTTTCGCCTCGAGACTGGAGCGGAGGGTCTCCATACACGTTCCAGGTGACTGATGCTTTGCTCTAGTTGTTCCCGACATGACGCTTAGCGCCAACGTTGGCAGTGACCGCAGCTGGGTCTGGAACGCTGCCGCCGATGTCAGTGAGGGCGAGCCTGAGGCTTGCACCCTGGCCATCCGTTTTGCCAACAGCGAGAGTAAGTCCTGTTCCCCTTCTGAGTGTCCCGGAAACGGTATGACTAACGCATGGTCCCAGACGCCAACCTGTTCAAGGAGGCTTTCGAGACGGCACAGAAGGAGAACGAGAAGCTTCTCAGCCAGCAGTAAATGCGGGGAATTCCAGCAACTTCGAATCTTCCCCCTCCCAGCGGCAAAGTGATATAGAGGGCTATCTTTAATGCACATTTCGATCTCTCCTTTGCACTACGAATTTGATGTGGACTTCTTTTTCGTCATTTACCTCTCTCATGCCCCCGCACATGCGGATTCACTTTCCCATAATTCCCATCGACCCTTATTTCTATCTCGTACCTTCTTCCCCTTTCCCCCTTTCCTTGACACGATCTGTATTCCTCCGTCCGTGAGGAGACAGAATGATGAGGCCGGCTCTGCCGAGCTTCGGAGTCGATGCATGTACAGACAGATTCGACGTGGTTTGACCCCGAGGTTGAAAGTATGTCCTCTGGCGAGTCGGCAGTAGATAGACACCATTTCCCCCAAAATACACGTATGACATTATGAAGTAGAAACGCTGGTGTTTTGGTGTATTGGATGACTTTGTTTTCCTGATTTAGGGTGTAAGCAGGGTGTGAGATTAAATGGATCTCTGAGTGTGGAGGGGTACTGCAGTGAACAGCCCACGAAATTGCAGATAAGATGGAATGAAGTGCGAAGAAGATGATGACTTATTCCGGTCTGATGGGGGAGTCGCAATGCGGGAAAGTGCAGTGCAGAGAGTCCAGTAACAGTAACTGAAAGGTTATAGTAGGTTAGTAGGTTGGTACTCGAACAGTGAGCAGTAAGTAATCAGTCAATCAGTCAATCAGTCAATCAGTCAATCCCCGCGCGGAAAGCTTCCCTCCCACCCAGCTTTCTCTTGCTACCACTTGTGCCTTTATCACCTTAGCACCTTAGCACCTTAGCCTACAGTATCTCGTCACTTAACTTCAATTGAGAGTCAATCTCAGTTAAATTTGCAGTAACCCTGAGGAGTAAGAAAGCGAAAGCGAAAGCGAAAGCGACAGACATTGCAGCCTCGATCAGATCCCATCCCGGCAAACACCCGACCTCAACTCCGCCTTGATTCGTCGCGCCTGCTTGAGCCCGATTGCTCTCCGTCTACTTCCTCCCAAAACAACCAGTCTGCCACCCACCCCCAGAGGAAGGGATTCAGCCAAGCTCGCCATCCACTCAATCCCTAATTCCCTATCTCTCCGCGCAATCAACTGAAGCCTATTCACAACGATGCCCGACGTGAGTCCGCCGCCTCTTCCGTTCCTGAGCATTGCGAGCGAGCGAGCCATTGCTCGCTCTACTCGTGACGCGCGGACTGGACCCCGGACAAGACATTAATTGCAGCGCGCTGACCCAGCTCCTCTTCTTATAGGTCAAGAGAAATGTCCGTCTGGTGACGGAGCAACATATCCTGTACGTTCCTACACCTTGGCCTCTGTCTGGTCTTTACCTGAGCTTAGCTCGGAGTCATCACCACCACCATCACCATTCAACCATCCTCTTCAGCTCCCCGTCACATCGCAGCCACCTCAACATCTCCCAAAACGTGATTACCACGTTACATATCCGAGCAAGAACGCGCTCGCGCTTCCGCTGTCTTTAGTCTCATTAAAGGACAATATGTGAGGGAGCTAGTGAAAGTGCTCGAAGGGCTAACCAGACTGTTTCGCGCCCGCGCGCCCTCAACAGAAACAAAGACTCCGGCGTCGAGGGATTCCCTCTACGGTCATGGTCAATTGAAATCTACCTGGTCAACGACCACGGCGAGCAGGTCCCCGCAAACGTCTTCGACAAGGTGACGTACACACTGCACCCGAGTTTTGGCCCGCGGGCTGTTCAGAGTACGTTCTTTGCTTTTTCACTTTTCTCTTAAGGGGAGTTTGTATTTTCCGAACTGGTTGGGTTTCTTTCTCGTCTCATGATTCCCTCATTCACCTGGTTTCCCGCGTTTGCACTTGTGTGTCTGTATGTGCATCGTGGAGGAGGGGGTGTTTTTTTCTTACCCTTAGCGGCATCTGCAATTATTGGGGGCGGGGGGTTTCCTACTCTTAGCGGCCTCTGAAAATTATAGGGAGAGGGAAGTGTTTGGGGCCAGAAAGAACCACCCAACATAGGATTACTGCAAAACGAGTTTGTGGTCCCATGGACTGGCTGACACGCGTTTTGTTTTGGGATGATAGCTTTTAAGAATCCTCCGTTCAGAATCTCCGAGGAAGGATGGGGTGAATTCGACATGCAGATCGGCCTGACTGCCGCCGACAAGGAGCATTTCGTCACCCATGACCTCAACTTCGCGCAGGCGCGCTACGAATCCAAGCACGTTATTGTGAGTGAATCCTGGGTTGCTCCTCAGGGTTGAGATTGGAAGACTGACCTGGGTTGTCCCCGAAACAGACCTTCAAGAACCCCAAGCCTGCGCTGCTAGCGCTACTGCGTGAATCCGGCCCCGTTCCTGGCGACGAAAACGGAGTCAAGTCGAAACGCGCCGCGGGAGGCGAGGAGGGGTCGAAGAAGAAAAAGAAGACGGAGAAGAATGTAATTTTCCCTCGTTCAATTTGGTCCCATCTTGCTGGCTTTTGTTGTGATCACTCGACTAATTTGTGTTAATATAGGTCGACATGGACAAGCTGGCCGATGGCCTCCAGCGTCTTGGCGAAGACGATCTTCTCCAAGTGGTGCAGATGGTCCATGACAACAAGGCTCCAGACTCATATACCAAGAATGATGTTGAGCGTGAGTTTCCCTTGCTCACCTTTCTTGTGATTTCCTCGGACCGGCAACTAACCCCAACCTGATGGATTTATCATCGACAGAGGGTGAATTCCACGTTGATCTCTATACCTTACCCGACAACCTAATCAAGATGCTCTGGGATTTCACGCAGGAAAAAGGTGCTTTGTGATTTTGTTTTATTTTGTCGGGCTCTCTCTCTTTTCTCCTATCTTCCTTGTCTCTCTTCCGACTACCATTTTATTTTATTTTCCCCTCTCTCTCGTCCGAATTCTTCGTGATAAAACAAAACTTAATCATACCACTTTTCTGCGTTGTTTGATCCCGTGCAACTTTCGGTCTTGTCTCTGGACCTCTGGACAAACCCACATATGTGTCTGCATGGCTTGGCTTCTCCCTTTCTTGCGAAAGTGGGTGGGCTGTTAGGAGTCGTGGCTTTGAAGCTTTGTTTTGCTTTTTTCGGCGAGAAGACAAAATCTTTCTGCCTGTCTGCTGGGGTTTAGGGTCGGTAAGAATACATACACTTTGTCTGTGATGGGATGGGGAGGCTCTGGGTTGGCTCTGTGATTACTGGATGATTGTGACAGGAAGGGTCGGGATATGGGACATGGGATGATAGGATGCCATTCCTTCACAAGATGGTCAAACTTTATGGTGTACGGTAGGCTACGTGATTCGGGCAACTGGCTAGTGCTTGTACTTCATCTTCCTTACCTAGGTATAATCGGAGGTCTGGACTGTATCGGAATCTTGAGGGGATTGCGCAGCAGGTATAGATAGATCGCCGGAGTAGTCTGGAACCACGACTTCACTCCACTACATATACTATGTATAACCACTACACTGCACTACTTATACAGATAGTGGAAAGCCCGTCAAACTTGATCTGGATATGATGACAATGATGACGATGATGATCGGTGATTAGAATAAAGTGGATAATAATACATAGCCAGAGCCAGAGCCATAGCCATAGCCCTGAGATTCGACTGCGCGAAGGACACAACTACCAAACCAAATATGATGACGCAGACATCCCAAGAGAAAGTAAACTCATATCGTGACGAGAAAAAAACCATGGAGGATATCTTCAAGCTCAGGATAAAATCAAATCAAGACAAACAGTAAAGTAACCCTGACAACACCATGACGAATTCTATATGCGAGCCCGGATTTTGAATTTGTAACATGAAAAGAAAAAGGAGTAAAACGCCCGCTGTGGTGCATTGCGATGCTTGGATTGAGGATGGTGATGTGGTGTGACGTGGTGTAGTGTGGTGTGGTGTGGTGAACGGAGGTGGGTGTGTCGAGTTTAAATTGAGATGGAGATTGAATGTGAGAGGACATGTGCAGCGTAGCGTGAACGTGGATCGGAATTGATCGTCAGATTGAGATTAGTGGTGTTGCTTTAGAGGATGCGGTGCCTGTCCATGTTGATCGTGATTAGTATCGAATATTCTCGGAGATGGGTAAGGCGGGAAGACAACGTACATCTTCAACAAGTCCTCCAGACTGTCGGCACTCAGACTCCGCCCCTTGGGAATCTGGCGCATGATCTCGACGATCGTGGCGAAGACATCCCCGTCGCGGTACGCCAGCAACGCCGGGGCCTCGATGTTATCCATCTCCGCGATTTCGTGGTGCAGCTTGATGAAGTGAACGGTGGGTTGGCGGCGAGCGATGGTGTTCAGGCAGTCTTCGACCAGGGCACTGGGAGTGGACTTCCCAGAAAGTTAGTTTCGGCCATTACAACCAATAATCAGAGAAACATACCTCCGGATCATACAGACAGACGACGACCACCGTCCCCGAAGTGACCTTCTCAATGGCATCCAGATACCCAACGGCATCCACGTGGTCGACGGACCCATACAACCGGCGGCGAGGACTGGGCTTGCGGAGCGTACGGGCCTGCATCTCCTGCATGCGCGAGGTGCGCCACTGGCGCAGAAACCGCTCCTCGTCATCGCTGCCCGAGGACCCGTCAGGCGGGGAGGAGTTGTGCAGCAGCGTGGCGTCGTCCGTGGTGGACTTCATCGAGTAGTGGGGTCGGTCAATGCCGGCGACGCTCAGCAGGGTGCGGCGGAAGGAGGATTTGCGGGCACGCTCGAAGGCCTGGGCGTCGGCGATGACACCCTTGGGGCCTGTGTTGGCATCGAAGGTGGCATTGGGGATCTTGTAGGTACTGGTGTTACGAGAGTGCATGGCAGAGGATCTGTGGAGGTCGTCGTCGTCGTCGTCGTCTGCGTCGGAGAAGTGAGGGCGGCTGTGGTCTTCGTGATCGTTATCGTCGGAGGAGTGATCGGAGTCGTCTCGATCGGAGTGATTGTCTCGGTCTTCAGGGTGAGTCGAGAACCGGTCTCGATTGTTCTGGAGGAGTTGATTGAATTCTTCTTGGGCGGCGGATGACATCTTGAAAAAGAAGAAAAGAGGAAAAAAGGGACCAAATGTCGGGAGGGTATGCCGGGTGTTTTAAAGGGAATGGGTCGTTGACCAGAGGAGTGAAACGATGATATTCTTAGAATGGGGGGGGGGGGGGGAGGACGACTTGGGCTGTGCCTGGATCTGCGTTGTCGTTCCGGGACGGGTTGGAATGGGCTAGATCAAATTCCCACTTTGGATGGTTTTTTCCCTGTGTTTTGAAATTGTGTTTTAAACTTCTGGGATGTTGTCCTCTTTCTGTCCGTGGGTTCGTGTGTTGTCGAAGGGGGGTGTGCTCTGGGCGAATGGGAGAAGCGGAAGAGGGCCGAGAGAGGAGTGACGCCGAATTCGTAACCAACACGCAAGTGGTCAAAGGTCACGTCCCATAGGGCAATTGGGGGGTACGTTTCAGATAGTTTAACTTTCTGGAGGAGGGGCTGATGATGATGGTGACGATGATGATATAGTTATGGATCTTGTCTCCTGGTCTGGGTAAAGAAAGGGAGTAATAGGATTAAGTTAGAGTATGAGGAGGAGGAGGGGGGGGGGATCGGGGCGAAAGGAGGATGGAGAAAGAGGGGGTGGGAAAGGAAAAGAGATGAGGGAGAGATGGAGTGGCCGCAGCCAGTGGCGGGAAGAGGAAAAAAAAAAAAAAAGAGAAAGGCTTTGGGCTGGGCTCTGGATGAAACACGGTCCAGGGGGCGTAGTGTGTTTCAGGGCAGAAGATCAGCCGCAGCAGAAGAAGAAGAAGAACCTTCCATGCCTACCTTCTCCTCCAGGATTTGTCTTCCTTCCGCCCTCCTCCCCCCCCCTACATTCATTAATTTATTTTATTTATTTCACTACATAAATCCATAAACACATGAACTATCACCCTCATACATACCTCATGGTTCGTCCACTTCGAAACACAATCCACCAAGCTTCAGGGTCTGTTTGGAAGAGATGAACCCGTCCCCAGCTTTTCCAGCCGGTTGGAATCCAACGGTTTGTGTATTCGATCAATCCAACTCAGCCCTTTACGGACCCCCGATCCACCCAACTACATCATCAGGTGTTTCACACATCGGGGATGAACTATGTTCGCCGAGTGCAAATGACCAAGTATAGCAACATCGCAAACCACTCATATTCCTCATGCAGTAAGTGGTCAGCAGTAAGCAAAGTACACATAGAAGCACAGTAACTTTTCCGACTAACAGGATCAAAAGTACGGAGTACCGTACAGTACATAAAGATCTGACACGTCCAATTTAAGGTTGCATGTTGCATGCAGTCCTCCGTAGGTACAGGGCAGGACATATCAAACCTGCATACTCCGTAGTTCGAGGCGCATACTTTTCCCACTGCAGATGGGCGCAGCACCGAGCCCTGAGCCCTGAGCACAGCATCCCATCCCATCCCATCCCACCTTCCATCCAATCTAGCAACTGACCTCATACATGAAGGAAATTAAAACTAAGTCCCCTTGAACAAACTAAAAAAACAAAAACAAAAGGAAATCAACAACAACGATCTTCAAACACGAACACAAAACACAACCACTCGAATAACTAACTACATACCAAACAAACGATGGGGCAAACACCCCCCCCCTCCCCTCCTCCACTTCAGAGTCAAGCTTCGGTTCATCCCCCCGCGGTAAAACCGTTCCAGATTTCCATCTAACTCCCGATCCATGGATAAGGTGTGGCTCCTCCTGCTTTCCCTTATTCCCCATCAATTCGGGCAAGATCCATACATAGATTGCCCGATCCCCCTCCCCCTTTCCCAGATACCTACGCAGGCAGTTCATCCGAATTCGGAGAATTCCGATCTCATGATCCCTGCTGCGAGGAGACCACTACAATGGAGAGCCGAATTCCGAGCGTTTGAATACGGAGTCGGAACCGGCCTTCCCAATGGTCTCGAACTCCTCGTTTGCGTTTCTGTTTGTTGCCCGGCCTCAGGATCCACTCGGTGGGAACCGGTTTAGAGGGTCGACTCGGAAGATGTCTCCATTTGGGGGCGGCGCGATGTAAGCTGCGCCTGAGCTGGGATGATATCACTCCATTTGGAAGTACTCGTACTGCTGGGGTCCACGGTGGATGGGGCTGTATACAAATGACTGCAAAACGAAACTGATCACAAAACATATCTGTCTGTCTTGCACCGGTGACGCCATCATCGACAGTCTTTCTCTTCTCTGCGTCTCTGCGTTACGTTGTTCCGCGTCACTCCGTCTTCAGCCTTTTCCATGGCTTTCGACCACGTCCAATGACCACGTCCGAGGGATTGGGTGGTTGGGTACAAAACATCTCCAGAAACTAGGGCCAATGATTTGTCATTTGTACGAGGAGTTAGTGGCTGCCTACCAGCTTGGTCTGGCTGTGCCTCAGAAGAAACCGTACACGAGTGCCGGCATCAAACCCTGCCATGGGGAAAAAAAGAAACATTTTTGAGCTAGGCAAGACATATCAAAGCACAAGATTCTGGCGGCGAATTACATTCCATCCCATCCGCTCGGCGACACAAGACAAGAACCCGCTGGAAAACACTCAAACGTTCGGAAACTATGTAGGTTGATTAGTATAAGAAAAAGAAACACACAATTCGCAATCAATCAAAACCGTCATGGCCTATCCGGGAAAAAAAAAAAGAAAGAAAAAAAGGTATCCCCTCCTTTTCCAGCCATCACCCAAGGCAAGGAGATCAATGCGTAAGAAAGGAAAAAGGGTTAAGAAGCACAGGGGAAATCGATGCGGAGAGACTGCACCAAGAAAATTCGGAACATCAAGGGTAAAGGACAAATGAAAACGTCACCAGGGTGGTTGGGACAAGGGGAATAAGACGGAGAAGGTGACGAGAAAAAGAATCAGAATGCCTGCAAATCAAATCTTGGTGATGGGCCATATTTGAGCCCATCGTCGCACTGAAGCGTAACAATCCCTCCAGAATCCCAATTATCAACAGCATTATTACAGTTCACCGCACCCGTATCCGAGTATTGTGGTTTTTCGTGGTTGTGTGTGTGTGTCTTGTCTGCCGTCCGGTTGTCCTCCTCACACACCTGCAGTAGTCAACGAGTGACGACAGCACCCATTGCGGTATGTCTGCCACCCTAACTGCCCCTTGGTTTTCGCTTCTTGTAACTGCGCCTGCGATCCGACTAGTGCATTAAGCAGGCGCGGCACTAAATTGCTCCTCAGTGAATAAAAGATTATCGTACAGTGGCGGACATGGAACCTAGTGGCGCAGAAAATGATTAAGGAAACTTCGAATGAGGACGTCACGAAAGACTTGAGACAGGGTATCTTTGCTGGTTTTTTTTGTTCGTTTTCTCGGATTACCAGGCCCACACCTTGAGCTACAGGATGAAATGTCTCAGTAACTTGTGTCCCATCATTGGGGATCAACGGAATGACTTACCAAGGAATCCCAAGATCCGGTGCACAGGCTGATGCCATCGTTGCTGACTCCCAAGCAGCTCACACGGTTCTCGTGGCCGCTCAAAGAACCAACCTTATCACCACGCAGAACATCCCAGACCTACCGGCCTCATTAATCAACCATTCGAGAGTGAATTCATCCTGGATTTAAGACGTACCTTGCACTCGAAATCATCGTAACCAGCGAATAGCAGTCTACCGGACACAGAAAATGCAACTGACGTGATACCGCACAATATTTGATCGCTCTGGATGTTGCGTTAGTGTCCGCTTCGGCCAGGGCAGAAATGAAAATGAAATACCTGGTAGGTGTTCAATTCCCGATCCGCACGGATATCGAACAGACGGCAGGAGGTATCGTCGGAGCCGGTTCCGAAGGCGTTTCCGTCGGGGAAGAATTGAATGGCGTTGATGTCGGACTCATGTCCAGCGAAGGTCTGAACGGCCTTTCCGGTACGGATATCCCAGAGCTTGGCGAAGGCGTCGCAGGCACCGGAAACAAAAATGTTCTGGTTGGTGGGGTTGATGCTGATCGACATGACGTCGCCCAAGTGGTCGGCGAATTCGGTCACCTTAGAACCCGACTCAATATCCCACAGCATACAAGTCATATCTCCCGAGGAAGTGATGATACGGCGATCGTTGATGAAGCGACAGCAAGAGAGATAACCCGAGTGTCCGGAGAGCTCACGCGCGACCCGAGTCGGCCCTTCACGCGAGGAGAGATTGTAAATGGAGCAAATGTTATCCAGACCACCGCAAGCAACGTAGTTTCCGCTGGGGGCGTAAGCGCAAGTCATCACCCATGATGACCGCAAGGGAATCGCATGGACCTTGTTCGTGGTGTAGGCATCCCAGATGATGAGCTTTCCGTCCTGTGAGGCGGAGACGAGGTGGCGGCGATCAGTCGACCAATGCATGGCGTAGATCTTAGCCAAGTGGCCCTTGAGCGTTCGACGGGGCTTCATTCCAATGCGAGGTAGAGTTTCGGTCTGGTTTTGCGCCACTTGGCGGACTGTTCCACGGAAGTTAGTATCCGAGAGGCATGGCATGGTACAGGTTGCGCCCTTCGCGAGCTTTCAGGTCGGGTCACCCGATCAGGGACAGCGACGTCTGTGAGGGAGAGGAATGCGTACGAGTGGTGTCTGCCAGCTCATCCTTTCTGCGTTTGATCTTGTCCTTGAGACCCTCGGCTTCGCGCCGGGCCGCAGTGATCTTGGCCTGCATCTGTTCGCCGCTCATATCGGCTGCCATCTTGACCAAACAAGCCCCTGGAGAGGGTGGGTGTCAATGGAATGACGAAACGGGTCTAAAGAGTGGAATTGAGTTGGCCGAGGCGGGCGTCGGAAAATCCAGGGGACGGGTTGAGATGATCGAGAAAGGAGGGGAGGTGGGAGGGGGGTAGAGGGGGGAGAGGCGCGAGCGATAAAGGGCGCTAGAAGAGAGAGAACGAGAGAAAAGATGGATTAGTGGAGTGGTGAGGTAGTCGGTGGTGGTCGTGGTGGTAACAAGCAAGGTCGGTAGGAGGAGTAGGAGGAGTAGGAGGAGGAGCAGGAGTGGAAGAGAGAGAGAGAGACGGAGAGAGTGAGTGGGAGAGAGAGAGGAGGGAGAACGAGGAGGGGGGTTGATTGGGTGTGGAGCGAGCACACGGCGGAAGCGACCGAGCGAAAGAAAGTTTCGACCCGGGGCAATGGTGAGGTGGTTCGGGCGTTTAAGTCAGCAGGGGTGGTGGAAAAGAGAGATGATAGAAGAGAGGAAGATAATGGCCCGAATGGTGATTAGGGATCAAAGGAGAAAGTGGAAGAGAGAAAGTGAAGAAAGTCGACTCTCTGTGTTGAAAGTGTGAGAGAAAAGGGGAACTGGAACCAGAGACAAGAGAGGGAAAGGCGAAGACGGAGAAGGATGCAGAAAATCCCACCCCCCCAAAAGCACAGATGACGGACAGTAACTTAAGTTAGTAGGTTAGTTAGTAGTAGTGAAGTAAGTTCAAGTTAGTGGCAGACGGTAGAAGCAACTCGGTCATGTCCTGTCTGTCATCAATAGCAGCCCGTGGTAAGAAAGAGCACCAATGATAAGAATGTATAGTAAGGGAACTATTGGGGTTGAGCTGGCCTGGACTAGATAGTAACTACAGGTACTCTCTAACTACCACGGTGTCTACAGAATACAATTCTACATGTATGGTATATATGTATATGTATAGTCAGTAAAAAAAAAAAAGTAAGTAAGTAAAGATGTATGTCAATATACGTATTGGGTAAGAGATGATCCTTCCACCGGGGAAAAAAAAAAAGTGAGAACAATGGAGACTGTGTCCATCTTTCTGGTGATGCATAATAGAAAACCAGCCGGTTAGGGGAAGCTGGGCGACAATAGGTCCTGTACGTACGACGGAGAGACAGGCGGGACTCTAAGAGAGCCTCCTGGTGAACTTTTCCGTCCAGCACTACCGTATACAGTATGTACAGTATGCGTACTGTACATACGATACTGATAGCTGATCTTAGTCTTACGCAACCATACCACCCCGACATCCTGGGTTCGCAGGACACTCCATCATTGATCACAGCCCCGTAAAATGTTGTTTACGAGTCAATTAGGTCATCAGTCAGACACAGTTCGAGGCGTATGATACGGTCGCTTACGCGTAGGGTAATTGATTCCAGGCTTTCAGGGGAGAACTCCCACATCCCAGTCTAGTCTAGGACGGTAACTTCTCCGCTGAGGGCAAGGTACCAAGTTCCGTGGAGGAGTTCATTGAACACTAAGGAGGTGCACCCTGGTCAGGCCGGTGGAGTCAGGCCTGCTGAGTCTCTTCTGGTTGGCCCATAGCTCACAACTGCTCGCCAAGTGGAGGATGTGCAGGACGCGAAAGCAAGCAGACGCGGAGACCAACAATGCAGTGCGGGATAGTGAAAGAAAGACAAGGAGATTAAGAAATGATGAAAGAGAAAAAGAGAGTTGAGCGTGTCCCTTGGAACAAAACATTGTGTTGGCAGGAATCGATTCTCCGGATCGCGAATGGCAAGGCGTCATGTTTGATCCCCTTCCAGTATTTAGTCGCCAGAACTTGTACAGAAGATGATGTCGATGGTAAGACAGTCTTGGGCTTGCCATAGACGCTAAAAAGCCTCTGACTATCATATTCCACGCCGTTTTTCCAGATACTGAACAGGCTCCTGTCTACATGACGATTCATAAACTCGCTGAAGGCAAATTGACGTGCGCAACCATTCTTCCACATTGCCGGTAAAATTAACCGCACTACGAGGCGAGGCAGATCCATCCATGCTTCGCACGAGTCAGGGTTTCCTGCTCCGACGAGTCTCTCGGAAGTGTACAGTAGTACAGTCCACATCAATACACAATGCACCTAGGTTGACGAGCCTCGGGAGTGGCGATCCCTTTCGTGCTCTACTAAAGCATAATTCCGGAGCTGTCTCTTGATGGAAATAAGCATCCGCATTCGAGAAGGACCACGTTGGGAAGTATCACCTGATGCCGAGAGTCGTGATCACTTCTCACATCCAGGGGCTTCAGACATTACGGGTGGTACCTGGCTCAGTGGTACCTACTGGTATCAATCATACCTACCGAGAATTCAGCGCGGTGAAATACCATTAGGGAAGTCTCTAGGACCGAACTAGGTTAGTCTGCTCGATTAGACTTTTCCATCTCAATATTATTATCTCTCTGCTTGTTCCAAATTTCTTCGATTCCTTGACTAGATGACTAGACTATCCGAATCTCCGATGATGGATTGATTGTTCTTTGGAACCTGAGAATTAATCGAGTCCGTGGAAGACTCCCGGATTAGAAACTGCCAGGGAAGATCCGAACTGAAAGTCAGATGCGGCCACGGATCTCAAGACTTTAAGATTGATGTTCCGTCACTTAGAGATCTTCATTTTCCGTCGAGGCTGGGGGGTCCCTGAACCCAGAGACTGGGGGGGGGAGGGGGAAAGGGAGTACTAGGATGGCCCATCCTTGGTGCCTTCCGTGCAGGACGTTCTCCATCCCGGCTGTCCCGTGAATCCGAACGCTTGCGGATACTTCTGAACTTCTGATGTACGTATTAGGTATACTGCACCTAATTTGTACTGTAGAGATGGCCATCATCCTTCAACAAGTCATAACAGTCTGCGATGTCTGTCTTTTCTTTTGATTTGATCCTTGGATTTCTAGAAGGTGGTTCACTCAATCTGAATCCCTCCCTAAATTCTCTGGCCAACAACTCACTAGGGACTGTGGCTACTAAATTACGGACCAACTCTTGTCGTTGCGTCGAGCAAGGCTACTGGTTGTTTAATTTGAAGATTCCGTGATGATAATGTCCACATGCGTCAAGATATTACAGAATCTGACTCCTCGTTTTTTCAGAGTTGATCCTGAGTACTCTCAATTGATCCCCTCATTTGCTAGGATTTCGATTCGGTCATCCATGATCGCTGTTACGTGTCTTTCGTATCGTCTTGCTCACTGCCCAGATATCTGCCACCTCTTACATACGTCGGTTGGCAGGCAGAAATAATGGAGCGGGATCCGCGACACTGATGGTCAATGTGCGTTGCGGCGGGTCACCAGGCCGCAGGGAAATTGGCCACTACCTGTTACGGTCAAATACTTCACAGGTGCGGGCTGGGTAAGAGCGTAACTGACAAACTGTTGTGGTTATTCGTTGTATTCATCGTCTATCTGGAGAAAGTGGCTCCACTGTTAGGATGATCGCTTGAAACCGTGCCTGACTAACTACTCGGCTGCCCCTCTTTGCCAAAAGGTCTTCATTTATCACGCTTACTAATGGGGTCGCCCCTGATGAGCTAACAAAACTACTCGGACGAGTAACTACACCTACGTTTTGCGACCTCTGAAGGACTTGAATTCTGCTTACGGGTGAAATGTCATCGGATTTTCTCTCGCCTGTTGTTAACAGTGTCCGGCTGATCATGTCAAATGTTCCGGATTTGACAGCTTCTTCCCAGCAAGTCGACAGGCAGGTGTGTCGCGGAGTTATCGGATATGCAATTATCTGTTGCAATCGCCCCCACTCTTGAATTCTGTACATTACAAACATTATAAGTCTATAGCACAGGAGACTAGCCACCGAGTCTTCAGCCTCTGGACTTTTGGGACGGTTTCCTTTTACATCAAGATGCATCGGCAGTGAGCCAACGAACGCATCCCTTCCCATTGGCAGGTCAAGGGATTCTGTCCGCTCGGATACCCAGGGATCAATTGGATAAATGCACGTCAGCCTCGGTAAGCCCCAAATATGAGGCACGATTGGCACGATTACAATGTCGGGTAGGGTGCATATCATTGAATCCGAGCTGCGGCTGTCGAGCCACATCTACCATTCGCATTGCCTAGACCAGGCTTCCTGCGGTGGAAGGATTCCAAGCCCTGCCGAGATTGGCAGCTCAGTATTGGCTCTAATACGATCATTTGCATCTCCCTGCTTGATGGATCTACACGCGATGGTGTCTGCGCTGCAACCTACAGGGTGTGTGTCTGTGTGCAGAGCAGATGGCTACAGAATATCCGCGACCATCAACCATTTCTTCTGTCATAGCTTACGTCTGATCGCCCATCCCAGGGTTCCAGGTTTTGTGTGCATTAGGCATATGTACAGTACATATACTGGAGTGTGTCGCTCCTTATCCGCACGCGGGCGATAACTTTCACCTACGTCAGTCGAGTCAGAGGACTGACTTGCCGCCTGCGCCCTCACGTTCTCGACACTTCCACGGAGGGTACACGATTACTTTCCGCCCAAGGATCTACTCGCACCATGAATAATAACCCTCGTGTCAAGGAAGTCGAATCTGAGACCCCTCGTCTTGAAACATATGCATAGAGGCAAGAATATCCTTCCAGAAACGCCTCCGCGCTTAAATGTGCTATATATAGCCTCGAATGAAGCACATCTCGAAGGTGACATCAATCAAACTTGAAACGAGAAGCAAAGCCCTATTACAACTCAAGGTCGGGGTGGTACAGGTACATGGGTCAATTCAAACTCGATCAAGCGCGTAATGCAATGTGAGTGTATCTGGGAACCTCATCCCCCGGACCCCCCGACCGCGATGGCGGTTAAACCAAGCCAGGGTTTTTTTATTTGGGTCAAGGTGATCGGGTTTGACGGCAGCGGTTCGCGCCTCTAGAGGCAAAAGAAGGCAACGCCGCCGCCGCCGCCGCCAGCCTAGCGGGATGACGGGAAGGGGAGGGGGAAGAAGGGCACGGAGTTTCTAATCATAGAACTACTAGGTACCTTGCTCACTACCTAGTGAGTGACTAGACTAGATTATAGATTCCAAGCACTTATACATGAATACTTTTTTAACTTGTACTTTGTAGAACTGTGAAGTACGTGCGGGTTGGTTTGGCAGCTGATTGAGGGGTAACACTGGGATCACGGCAGGATGACCCTTGTCCAGACACATCTTTAAGTCATGATAGGGTGGTTTAGATTGAGTGGTGTGCAAAGGACTGCACTGCACCTAGAGCTGATCCGATTTAGGTTGTTGTGAATTTCGGCACGGTGAGGGTTTAACCTATTGGTACGGTACACCTGTGAATGGAGACCGAGCTCGGAGGAAGATGTCGTTTTGGGGGTCCGTTTGTATATAGTAATCCAGGTCGAGGTGACAGGATGGGGATCGGGGTTGGCTGGAGATGCAGATCTAAATATAGCGTGCATGTGGGAGTTTATGCATAGTAGATGAGGGTCCTATCGCGGTTCAATATCTACTCCATCATGGAAAGGAGGGAGGTAGGAAGCATGTTGAGATCGGGTCGTCCGTCAGTGTCAAGGAGGAAAAGATACGGTGGTGGTGAAACTCTGGAGCTGAAGAATGGTGGGTTCGGGGACTGAGAGAGAACCTTTATGCCTATGATCGGGGAAAGGCAGCGGATATGATATGTCCATGTCAATAGGTGTCAACATGTCTACTCCATATACCTACGATCGGAGATCCATAGTTCTGTCTGCCTGTCTGGTAACCACTACCCTGGTAGTTTAAAATAAGTAAACTACTGGTAGGTCGACGAGTGATCTCCGGGTCCCCTTCCCATATCGAGGCTCAAGCCCCCCTCTTCCCCTCTCCTTCCTTCTCCCCCTGATGTATACATACTCCGTAGACTACGACGGGGTCGTAGGGACCAAAATACCTGAATGTTGCTGAAAACCAGGGGGGCATATTTCGCAGTGCCGTGGGGATTACTACTGAAGATGAGAAAGCAGGGAACAAGAAGCGAGTCGAAGCGAGCCAGCATCATGATCAAACCACTATCTGAAAACTATTGCGCCCTGCTAGTCATCTCCTCATCCGAAGCAGTAGTCAAGTCCGATGGTGGGTGCGCCAGATGACCTTTGCTCCTAGATCTGCGGCGGACTCCGCTTGTTCAGGGAAATGAGGAGGACTCTTTGAACATTCCATCCCAATGCGTGGTCAGGAGGAAAGGGACGGCAGGGCGGGCAACCGGGGCAAGCTTAAGTTAGGTCATAAAGGAATTGTTCAGGAGGAGGAAGCAGAAAGATCTTCGTCCTTCGTCTGTATTACTATGATACTCATATGTAGATATTGATGTTTGAGGAGAGGGGAGGGGAGCGGTCCGTGTTGTTATTGTCGGAGCCTGCCAGTGGCAAAAGAAAGAGAAGATCGATCGATTGATTTCTTCTTCTCCTTCTTATTATTAAGAGTGTGTTACTCGCCCGAATTAAAGTACCGAAGTTGGCTGAAGAACCTCGGGGGATCGTAGAAATCATCTTTCAATACGTAGTATATTTTGTAACTATCCAACATCCAGTGGAAAGATATCGAAGGTTTTAATATTACTGATGTTATTAAAGAGAAAGTCGAATCGACTCGACTTGTTCTTAGTCGGATTAGGTAGCAGCATCCGTTGGAGAAGAAGAGGCAAAGAAAGGGTGGCGGGCCAAAAAGCCTGAAGACGAAACCGCCTGACTCTCCTCTCTCTCTCTCCTCTCTCTCTCCTCGCTCACTCACTCTCTCCGCTTTCGCTTTCAAGTCCCTTCTCTCGCTCTCTCTCACTTACTCAATCACTCACCACTCCTCCTCCTTCTCCTCCTCCTCTTCTTCTTCTGCTCGACTCCTCCTTTTGGGATCCCCTTCTACTCACTCTCACTCGAACAATTTCCCACCCACCCACAACCCCCCTCCCCTCCTAATTCTTCCTCCTCATTTCAGACTCATTCCCTCTCTCCTCCCTCTCTCCTCCTCCCCGTCGTCGCTTGTCTCCATTAACAACAAATCCCTCTCAGCATTTCCCGTGCCTGTGTCGCTTCAACAAACCTCCATACCAATACTCCCCACTCACCCACTCACCCCAACACCCGATACCCCCTTTCACCCTGTTGGGCATAGGTTGTCTCTCCTTCCACCCGGAAAATCTTTAAGCATCACCTGGGTCCTCACCGAACCTTTCCTTCGTTCCGTGAATCATCGTGGCCGTCAGACTCTGACCCACGGTCTTGGCTTCGAACGCAACTACCCTCTTACGACGTTTGCCATCAATCACTCTACGATCCTTTCTCCTATCTCGTCTCTCGTCAACTACCGTTCGAGCGTCTTGGTCGCCCCCTGCAGTACATAATTCACCATAATCTCATGACTACGTTTTAATCCCATCGACTCTGCTGCTTGAGGTCACCGTATTAATCGATTCATTCCATCTCGTCGTCGGGCTTTGAACAAAACGCCCTAATCCGAATTCTCATCCGATTCTCGTCTTGACTGACCGATAGTCACATCCCGCTTCACCCTCTCGCCCATCATGCGGGAGGTTAATTTCAGCATCCCGAATGTCAATAAGGCCTCCGTCAACATCACGACCACACTCTACGATCGGCGTGCTCTCGACTGTACATCTACCCTCCCGCTGGTCAACTCGCTCAACCATCTAGCTTACCTCACAACTTCATCCGCCCGCATTCGCGATATCCTCACCATCGATGGCGGTGTTGAACGCCTGGTATGCATCCTCAAAGAGGGCCGGACGAAGGATTTGATGGATTGTTGGAAGTGGAGCCTCGCTTTGCAATGTGTTGTTAACATCGGAGTGAGAGGCTCGGAGGGTGTGCGAACCAGGGTGGTCGAGGCCGACATCGTACCAGTGGTTGCGACCGTGCTAGACAATTATATCAAGATGGTTGAAAAGGCTCGCGCCCGAGCTGAGAGCGAGAGTAGTCGGCACTCGTCCAGAAATCCCCTGAAAGCCATCCACGGGCCCACCGCCAGTCTTCCTACTCGTCCACTCTATGTCGACCAGTCTACAAACACCGAACACCGTCCATCCCGTCGCCAGGCGCCGCCTCCTCATATCGAAATCCCTCCTCACTACCGAGCCAACAATACAGATACCAATGCTATGGACATAGCGTCTTCCCCTCGTGCGCCCATGGCCACTCTTCCAGAGCGACGGAGCCTCGCCATCGAGGATAATCCTCGTCATGCTCATAACGCTCACCGCCATCTTGTGATGCAGCCTCTGTCCACCGCGGCGGCTATGGACACTGCCGACGGCTTCGGTTTGCGCCCGGTGCGTGACGCCGAGAGACTTCCTAGCATGCTTCCAGGCCTACAAAACGGGCTAATTTCTCAGCCTGACTCACCTACCACCCCCAGTGGTCCTTCGCAGCTGCGAAGCCATATTCACCCGCACGGGCTACGGTCGCGTCCCACCTTGTTACAACAACAATCAGTCTCGGGCGATTCCGACATTGCCAATGGCGAAGAATCCACCGTCGGCTCCACCGTCGGCTCTGGACATAGTTCCGCCATGGGCGACGAAGTGGGAAGCGAGATCACCGACCCGATGATCGGCATGGAGAACCGGATGGAGATAGATGATGTTGGCGATAGACAGTCCGTGCTTGGGGAAGTCTCGAATGCCCATGATCTGACGGTCAACGACTCGTCGGAAGGACAAGAAGCTGACACATTCAACATCGCCCATCGGTCGGCTGTTGATCGAAGCATGATTGAGAACAATGAGGCGCAGACAAATGGGTTATCACCTACTCAGGCTCCTGAAAATGCCAACTCCCCTGTTCCTGTGCCGACCCCCTATTCGTCATACATCCGCGAACGTCTCGCTAACCAGACTACGGCGACGACTATGCCCCGCGACGACGATGTCTTGATGGCTCTTCAGCTCCTCGCATATGTCTCCAAGTATTGCAGTCTCCGTTCTTATTTTCAGAACACCCACTTTGTTCCAAAGCTTCGGGTCGATCGTGAGCTGAAGCTTCTCGATGGCGGTATGTCCCCCATCGAACCCCTCGATGATGAGGACGAGGAGTACTTGCAGCCGGACGATGTCAATATTTTCCCTCTGGTGGAGCACTTCACCATTCGTCATCACTCGAAGGATATGCAATATTGGGCCTGCGTGGTCATGAGGAACCTCTGCCGCAAGGATGAGGCCCAGGGTGGCATCCGGCAATGCGCCTACTGGAAGTGCGGCAAGTGGGAAGAATATCAGCGGCAGTTTGCCAAATGTCGCCGCTGCCGTCGCACCAAGTACTGCAGCAAAGACTGTCAGAAGGCGGCTTGGATCAGTCATCGTCATTGGTGTCACACCAACCCTTGATCTGAACGGATGAAACTTGCCTAATACACATAATGCATATCGGCTTGCATAGCGTCGTATCTGTCATCTGGTCCCGTTTGTCTTTTCTTCGGTTCGTTTCCCAAGGTTTCACGTCTCCCCCCCGTGCATGGCATTCCCGAATCCGGTGGCGTTCCTCTTCCAGTCTAAAGATACCTCTGTTTCTTCCTTTCAACATGTTTCATTAAAGCCAGGCCCAGTGTCTGGACCTCAGTCATATGGAATCTCTTCAGCGGTTATGAAAGTCTTGTTAATTGTGTGAGTGGGTTTTCTTCTGTTTTGTTTTCTTTGAATCATATCTGAGCAGCTAGCTCGCTACTGTCTCGATGCCAGACGATTTTCATTTGTGAGTAGCCTTTATCTTATTTTATCTAGCATTGTGATCCATGTCCACTGTTGTTTGCTCTGGAGCGTTTGTCTCGCCGTTGACGCTCCGTGGTTTTGTTGTTCCTCTCATCGATGGTCCTGGTTTAGGACTTTGGGAGTGGTGACCATCGATGCAGCCTTGGAATTTTGTTGTGGTGGTTTTGTGGGTCCCACCCCGAGCAGTGATAGTTCTATCTCTCATGGCATTTCCTTGAGTATGGTTTCCTTTGGAAAAGGAAACTCGAGGAATTTCTGTGCATACGATCCACTCTTTGTGTCTGGCGATTGGCCTTAAAACTCCTAGCTATTCGATTCGGCTAAGGATTTCCTTGTGACTGTTTGATTTCTTGTTGGTCTGGCCTGGTTCTGCTGTGACTTCGCACACAAGAGGAGATCAACCATTTAAGATAGTAATCCAGCATCTTTTGCCTATGAATGAGTCTGGTCCACAAACACTTTGATAAACCTGAGCTACATCCTTGATGTCTGTATCACGTTCCCAACCCACCCTTCTCCAGTCCCCCTTCCCCTTCAATCTCCCGTTCCCATCAACCCATCCAGACGAACCTACTCCTTCCCCCCCTCAAACTGATACGTCGCCCCCAACCGCGCCATCAAATGCTCATGCGCCGTCACCGCCCTCTTCCCGGGCTCCAACGCCCCCGCACCACCCCCAAACCCGATCATCTCGTCGGCGGTGCCCTCCTTCTTGCCCTCACGATACCGCCTCACCGTCTCACTCGGCACGGGCACCAACTCCGTCCGATCCAACGGATGACAGAAGAACACGACACTATACCGATCCCGCGGTTGGGGGGCTTGTTGCTCCGCGACCGGGAAGACCACCCTGTGGACGGTGGATTTGAGCAGTCCGTCGGTCCAGTAGCTGAGGAGGTCGCCGATGTTGATGAGGATGGGGGGGAAGATGAATTCTTTGTCTTCGCCGGTGGTGGTGGTGCTGCTGCTGGCACTGTTGGGGAGGACCGGCACCGGCGCCCAGGTTTTCTCCGGGGTCAGGATCTCCAGCCCCGGTTGGCCCGGACGTTGGAAGAGGAGGGTGATGCTCCCGTAGTCGGAGTGGGCGCCGGCGCGCACGTCGAGTTGGTGGTTGTAGCTGCTTGTGGCCGGGGAGGTCAGGGAGGGGTAGTATAGGTAGCGCAGGATGCTGCCGGTTGGGCCGCGCGTGGGGTCGTGGCGGG